ATATATATATATATAATATTTCAACCTCTACAATCGTCAGGGTTCAATGTTTTTAACATATTTCGTAATATTTTATATTTTTTTCTCTTTTTTTCAGGTTGTTGACGATAATATTGATCCCGCATTGACCCTATTGTCTTATCTTCGTAGAAAATGTATCCTTTAAAACGTACTTTTATAAATGTGCTACAGTGTATGTGAGTAAATTATCATTAATTTGCCTTGTAAACGTTAGCAACAGCAAAACCAACGATTTAATTCATTAAGTTTTATGTAAAAGGTTAAATAAGATGCCCTTTGGCAGGAAGTCAGAGGATGGGTTTGGAAAAATATTCGTGCCTTGACTTTCCGAATAAGAGATAGGTTAACAGAATGGAAAATTTACAACGAACTTTACCTACAACCCACTGGTCCTGATACTTCAATCTGCTTCAAATATATTTTAATGTAATGTGAACATTAATAAAAGGTCGGACCAAAGTGTTTACAAATTATTCGAATAGTTTCATCTGGTTTGCTTATTATAGCTGTAGAACTGTTTTATCGATTATAAACCAAACACAATGAATGTAAACTTACTGCTAGCTTTCGCAGGCACATATAAGGATGTAGTTTATTATGGACAAAGTCCCCACACTGAACCCCTCGGATATATACAATTGGCGACGACAGACTCCCAATGAGGATCCAAGTTCCTGGACGGGGGATGAACACCTTAAAAAAGGGTACCTGAATGGCTCTCTGAGACTATACATGTAGTCTAAGAGTAGTGTTATTGTACAAAGGGTCCAAATATGAAAAAGTATGTCCTACAGGGCATTATTCCCACCGGTTTGACTCAAGAATTGACACTTCATTAACAGAGGGGAACATGTTACAGAGTGGGCCCAGAAAAACACACCAAAGTTTGCTATAACTTTTAAGTTAGTAGCCCATCATGCATCAATAATGACCAAATTATGCAATTCGTATTTTGTCTGGTTTGAATAATACAGTGTATTACGAAAATTGTTCAAGATTGTTTCATTCATTAGGCCTACATTTAACTTTCTAACTGCATAATAAATTTCAGTGTCATGCATCATATACAACAGTCAGCCACATGATTTGGTAAATCATTTATAAAAATTACAAATAGTAAGGTCCCAAGCTGTAACTTAGCTTCTAAACCATGCTAATAACATTTTAACAAGAGATACAAGATGTGGCAGTAAAATATTATGATCAAGTGTAACTAATTCATCAAATTTACTTTTATCAATAGCATCCAAAAAAAAAAATATTTGTAACATTTATTGAGTGTTTATCCTCGACGGGGGATGGACACCCATATCAGGCCCAACAGGGTTGGGGCTGAGGTGAGCAAACTTTAAAAATAGGTACCTCCAGATGCCCGAAAATGTCTCAAGACTGTACAAGTTTGGCGAGTCGAGTGGCCGAGCGGTAAGGCAGGGGCGCCGCTAGCTACAACCTTAACATCGACGCTGGTTCCAGTGTTAAAGGGACAATTTGGCATTCTAACGATCGATTGGTGATATAATATTGGCCCGTTCAACCAACCAGACCGCTCCCTACGGCTTTGTTTCGTCGATGGTATCAACATAACTTCTTTAGTCTGGCCACAGAGGAAGTCATGTTCACAAAAACATTGATCAAAGCTCGCAGAGTAAGTTTACATCAAGTGTGCTTAGTTTATTCATAGAGAAAATAGAACAGATGTTTATCGATAAACAATGGCCGTATTCGACTGGTCGTTCTTCGTTAAACCACGCCCACCTGCGCAGTGGTAAAATCATACTTAACGAAGACGACCAGTCGAATAGAAAACTGGTAAATACGCAACAAAACAAATTGGCTGCATAGTTACCGCGATACACGCAGCGTAATCAATGCTGCTTCGGATTGTGGCAGTATGGTTTTTTCGTAAAAAATGTTTTCATCCAGTTTTTGAATTCTGTTAACCTACAATTATTTTTTGACTTCAATGTGGGTAAATATTGTAATTTTTATTTTCTGAAATTTAATCTAAATTAACGCAAATGTTGTTGCTAAACTGACCAATCGGCTTTTTTTTTTGTCACGTCCATAACTTTAACGCTAACGCATTCTGGTTAAGTTAATTTTCAACGAAGTCTATTTTACGAACCAGTCGAATGAAAATAATACTCAACGAAATGAACCAGTCTAATATGCCCAATTTTACAGGTAACTTATTCCGTTGTCTGCAGGCGTTTGTTTAGCCGGCTGTGTTTTTAGAAAAGCATATGGTGTTTATACTGCAGAAAATTAACCAAATCATCTGTGTTATTCATTTATTGTGTTTAACAGTAGGCTATATCATAATTATGCTAATAAACTTGGATGGAGAAACATGTAAATCAGTGATAGATATGTATTGGCTTTTATAAGCGAGTTTTGATAAGAGAAGTTCTGGTAAGAAGATTGTGGTGGGTATATACCTTATGGCTTTTGAGAAAACTGTACAAGTATTGCAATTCATCGAACTTTAAACACACTATTAGGCCGGAATTATAAGCCAGTGCCTATGTATGAACCTCATGACACTCTGTGCAATGATTTTGCGCAGTACTTTTGTAATAAGATTGATCAAATCAGGATTAACCTAGATGATGCAATCATAGTATAGTATAGATAGTTGGGTACGTCAAGACTCATCTAATAACCTTGAGTCGGGTACCGATAGCTTGTCAACGCTTGCTAGATTTTCCCCTGTTGACATTGACTACGTTATAAAATTACTCACCACCAGACTCCCCAATAAATCAAGCCCTTTGGACCCCATGCCAACCTGGCTTTTAAAGAAGTGTGCTGAGATTGTAGCACCTACTATTGCTACAATTATAAATACATCGTTTATAAGTGGGATGTTTCCCTCCCAACTGCTATTATAACCCCCCCCCCACTAAAAAAACCTACACTAGATGCCAATGTGTTAGGACATTACAGACCAATTTCCAATCTCCCTACTCTGGGTAAACTCATTGAGTACCCTGTACATGATCAGTTTAGAGAACATCTGGAACATAATAATATGGTTGAGGAGTTGCAATCTGCATATAAACCCCGACATAGTACAGAAACGGCACTTCTAAAAGTTAAAACCGATATACTGAATGAGTTAGAAAAGAAAAAAAAATGTTTTACTTGCAATGCTTGACCTTAGCGCCGCGTTTGATACGCTTGATCACGTAATTCTTTTAGAACGTCTAAAAAACGAATATCATAATTCTGATGAGGCTGTTGGGTGGTTCCAGTCTTATGTTCATGATCGGGGGCTGTCAGGTGTCCGTCTTGGGATCGAAATCTAAAAGATTTCATTTGAGATCTGGGGTCCCTCAAGGATCGGTTGTTAGTCCGTCCCTGTTTACAGCTTACACGAAACCAATCAAAAGTATCCTAAGAGATGCTGGTGTATTGTTTCATCTGTAAGCTGACGACACCCAAATCTACGTAAGTTGCAATCCGAAATCCCCCAATGACGTTAGTTCAGCCATTGATAAAGTAAACAAATGTGTCAATAATTTGCGTTCCTGGATGCACGTAAATAAGTTAAAATTGAATGATGAAAAAACTTAATTAATTGTATTTTCACCACCTAGATTCGATGCCAGTTTACTTAATGTGAATATTGAAGTGGGGAGCGCCACAAGCATACAATCTAAGGTTGTAAAAAATTTAGGGGTTAATTTTGATGAACATCTGAACATGAACTCGCATGTTTCTAGAATAAAACAAACTGTTAATTTTTACTTGAGAAATATTGCGCGTATTAGAATATACATTGATCAGAAAACCTGTACCACTGCATTGCAATCATTGGTGCTGAGTCGACTTGACTACTGCAATTCGCTATTGGCTAATACATCTAAGGAGAATATAAATTCCATGCAAGTGTTGCAAAATCGGGCAGTGCGTCTGATTTTTGAGGTGCCTAAGCGCACTAGTGCAACTTCCCTTCTCCAAAAATTGGAGTGGCTGCCTATCGAAAAGCGTGTAATTTTCAAGACTATGGTACAGGTTTATCAATGTATAAACAATAACGCACCGTTGTATCTCAAAGATTTCCTTAGAAGGCATGTGCCAGGTAGAAATGGTCTTAGGTCCTCCATTGATGTTACCAGGCTCTATGTTCCACGTACTATTACCACCTCAGGAGATAGATTTTTCTCGAATTTCGGACCCAAACTGTGGAATAACCTACCTATTCATATTCGTAAATCATCTACACTCGATTCATTTAAAAAAAGCCTTAAATTACATTTACAACTTTAATTAAAATGCCTGGCGACATCCACGGGGGACCTGAAAATGAAACTGTGCGACTTTTCGCTGTATGTTTTCATTTATGTTTGATTGTGATGTGTATTGTTTAAATTTTGTTGTAATATGTCAAAGCGCTATGTAAATAGCGCTTAATAAAAGAAATCATAAAAAAAAAGCCTTCTGTTAGAATCTCTATGAGGGCAATATACATCGCTTCCTTGACATCAAACCAAAGTAAAATTAACTGGTTCCAAACTTGGATGCGGTGAAGGAGGATGTGGTGCTTGTACTGTAATGGTGTCAAACTACGACAGACACACCAAAAAAGTCTAGTAAGTACCTATTTTCTAGCATATTAATAGAATAATAACGCTTAAAAACCATTAAAAAGATCTAAATGATGAAACTAGCCCTACTTCTCATGTGCACAAGCCAATACCGTTGTCACTTTACAGATAGCTATCAGCAAGTTTTAAAGCACCATTTGCACATTATCGACCACCATGTAAATAGAATGATATAGTAACGTAATTTTTTGAACCTCCTTAATTTTCTGTCTTGCAAGATATTGTTGGCGTTCTCTTTTGTGCATATTTGAATTAAAGCTTAGTTCATCGTGAACATTGTGTGGTACATAATGTATTAAGCCATATTAACCATTTTCTTTGTAGTTAATAGCTTATGATTTTCAATGATATTGCGAGGTTTTTTTCTCTGCATTTTACAGCCACAAATCAGTCAACGCATGTCTGGTTCCAGTGTGTTCTGTCCACATGATGGCTGTGACAACAGTAGAAGGTATTGGGAGCACAAAGAATGGTCTACATCCTGTTCAGGTAGCTCTAAACAATTATAAATTACAAATCTCATAAAAAAAGTGAAAAACTTAGTAAATGTTGTATATGACAAGTAAAATTGAATATGACAAGTAAAAAGGTTTAACCATAATATATCGACTAAATCGAGTTAGGGATAGGGGTTTCTAAATACATTATGGAGCTTTCGACTGTTCAACGACGCGACGCTAGAACGGAATCACTCATGCGTGACTGTCCTACCGGGCTTCCTACCTTCTCTGCATACGCAGATTTGGCCAAATTACGTCCTAGTATCCATGCGACGAGAACTTAACGTTCTCGCATGCGCAGATGACTTTTAGTGACGTCATTACGTTCTACGTCCTACCGTCGTCGTGTAATCGAAAGGTCCCTATTATTTATTTATCCTGCTGTACTTCAGCTATACAATAATAAATACAAAATGATAGGTGAAAAATGATACAGTCCTATCTCCCTAAATGTGGTTGCCTACCGTTTTTATGTAAATAATTCCAAATTATGTCTATTTACTTTATAGGAACGGATTGCGAAATCACACGGATCTCAATGCGGCTTCTGTACCCCTGGTATCGTTATGTCCATGTACACCCTTTTGAGGAACAACCACCAACCAACAATGTCAGACGTTGAGGACGCTTTTCAAGGCAATCTTTGTAGATGTACTGGATATCGGCCGATCTTAGAAGGATTCAGAACCTTCACGAAGGTATTTATGTTAGGTTCCAACGAAATTACTCTGTTTTTTCACACTGGAAGGTCTATATACAATCTGCTTCAGAACACTAACTTGATCAGCACACGACATTTAAACAAGGCAGTCTCGCTGCTATTATTTTGCATTTAAAGCCCTTAATCACTAAGATCCCATCTGTGCCTTAACAAAAAAAAAAACAAAAAAAAAACAAAAAAAAACAAAAAAACCCTAACGCTTAGATTGACTTTATATACCACATCTCACGGTTGTTTTTAAAAGCTGGCCACTAGTGACGAATCATGTCACTACATATATGTATCTGTCAATATTATTGTCATATCTTTAGTTTAGGTCCTAATATTTAAAATTATTATTTATATTCTAATAGAACAATAACGCATAAAAAGAACGAAGTTTCGACTTCATCTCAGTTTAAGTCATTTTTAGATAGAAAGTTTAGATGCATCAATGCGTTTTCTATTATTGGTTGTTTGTTTTAAACGGATTCTTATCCGTATTATTTATATTATTATCTTTATTTACTATTAGTTTATTGTTTTTCAAAATGCAAACAGGATAACACTGACGTAAGCTGTTGCCAAAGCAAAAATGATGTTACCAGGTGTTGCCAGAATGGTCTCAACGGACCAATGAAATCAAAGTGTTGCAAAGATTTAATATTTAAAGAAAACGGTGATCATACCATGAAAGGCGTAAGTTTTTGCCGTTTAACAGAACTTGTTCTATTTTAAATTGTAATTGAATTGTGTTTCTTAACCTTTTATATGTAATTGTATATTGAATTTCTTACCTTTTATTGCAGTGTATAAATGAAGAATTTCTGATGTATTTATTTTAAACTATCTATCTATCTATCTAAAAACATTATCGCAAGAAGATTTATCTATCTATCTATCTATCTATCTATCTATCTATCTATCTATCTATCTATCTATCTATCTATCTATCTATCTATCTATCTATCTATCTATCTATCTATCTATCTATCTATCTACCTACATATATATGTATATATAATATATATATATATGTATATAATACTGTATATTTTATATTTTATATACGATTCATACATTTACCTCTCGCGTTACTGGTATCAAGATTGATATTATTGTTATCGTTTCCGAGGGGTGTGTAGAACCATAGGTCACACATGTTTGACCCACGTGTGATTAAACATATAACGTTATAATGAATAGCTTATTTAAAAAGAAAATTACACAGTAAGGTACATAATAAACAAAAGTTAAACGCAGAAATTAAATGATATAGATACAAAACATAATTATTATGCAGTACGCAAAAGTCAACAATTTAGTAAAATAAAAGTAATCTATAGCAACAATGGCAAAATAAATTATGGAAATGAAGAAAATCCACTCCACAAAAGTAATTTGTGAATTATGAAAAAGAAATGTAAACTATTAATAAAACAAAGCAAGAAAACATTAAATTAGTGATATATACAATGTTTATACTATTATACTTTGTTTTCATTAATTATTAATACAAATGTGGTTCTGACTGTACATCAGGACTTAATCTATTCCATTTGACAGCACTATCATAATATGAAATACTTTAAAAAAAAATTAGTCTCATGCATTCAGTTTGCCCTGATTCCCGTCCGAAGGACTGGTACACAGCTAGTAAAGTTATAATGAATAGCTCATTTAAAAAGATTAAACAAAATGACAAACTTGCAATAAGGCAAAGGTGGAAATAATTTATTTTATATGCTCACAACAACTAAATCTAGTTTATAAGTTTAACAATGGCCTGAAACTATCGGTCGTAAATCATGCCTCGAGTATCTCACTGGGTCATGGACAAAACAATATTTCCCAACTGCTGCATTAAACCACTATAGTCTGCTAAACCATAACTTCTGTGTCTTTTCTGCGTCAACATTTAAATTACAATTAATACAATCACAATGATCTGGCATCACGCCATGTCTAAAATTAAAATGTGTATTACCCCTATAGAATAGACGTACAAATGCTAGCTTTCAATTGACGGAATATAAAGAACTTGGAAAACCGTGCCACCAAATTCCGTCTCGCTGTGTTTGTTCCATTCACTGTGTTTGGTTACGTCAATAGCTTTTTTACTTTAGACTTTATATTCCTTTAATAAATTCTTTGTATTTGTATTGTATTTGTTTATACACAATATTCCTATGCAATCAAATGTTGGGACCTCTAAAATCCTGAAAATGGCCCCTGAACCCTTAACATGTTAAGTGTTGCGCCACCGCAAGTTCATTTTCCTGTTTTCATGTACATGATGACCCAATTGAAATTTCTGTCGTGAAAAATGGCACCTGTGTAACCATTTTATGGAAAATCAGGATTTTATGGAAATCAGGCTTAAACAGTTAGCGTTATTTATTAGCGCAATACAGCAAGGAAATGTTTACATTATTGAATCCATTGCTATATTTTCAACAGATTCTAGAAAAAACAGAACCAGAATTTCTGCAATTTAAGAATGAAAGACAAACATGGTTACGGCCTGTAAAACTTCAACAGTTGCTGGATACAAAGTCACAACATTCAGATTCTAAATTGATTGTAGGGAATACAGAAGTAGGTATGCATACAAATATATTGTTAAAAGGTTTGCAAGGTGAAGTAACAGTAGTGTATTTAGGGAAGTGTGCAGGGGGAGCACGCTCACACCCCACCTCTCAAAGCTAGTGCCCCAGTCCCCACCCATTGAAATGTTCGAATAAAAAATAAATAACGCTCAAAAGTAATTAAAAATCACCTAATATTACCTTATTTTGCGACCTAGCACCCCACCCTCATTTAATTATCGAGCACCTACTCCACATTTTCTCCCCCCCCCCCCCTTCTCCCCCCCCACCTCATTTTAAGACTTCTAGATACGCCATTGCGAAGTAACAATGTCTTAGGCCCTAATAATACTTGTGGTAAACCAAGCCACGTACTTAGGTCTGAAGAGAACGGTTGTTTGTTAAAGGTGTCTCGAAGGTATCTATTACACTATCACTCTTACATTCCTATTCTCTATAACAATGCTTAACCACAATATTTGGCAAGGCCATACACCCAGAATACCAAACCGGTAGTATATAAGCCGGTATAATAAGCCAAGCATTATTGCTGGATGCGTGTGAACGTAAACGTGCTGTTTTTACATATTGTATATTTCATTAGATGAATTACTGCGTTTGTGCTATTTATTGGCTTTTTTTTATGTTCAACTCGTTATGGTAGTACAGATTTTAATTGTTAATAATTATCCAAATATAAATTATTCATTCATTAAAAATGCCTGCGGAAATACCTTCTAACGAATTCCAACCGACACAAAAACATTCGATAATTTTCACATTATGTGTCCCTAACATAAATACCAGTCAAAATTTGAAAAATGTATCTTAAAGTCTAAAACTTTTGGTCATACTTGTAACATTGTTGTTAGGTGTGGAAATGAAATTTAAAGGAATGAGGTATCCTGTTATAATATCTTGCTCGCAAGTACCTGAACTGAATGAGTTGCATTTGGACGATGAGGGCGTCAGTATAGGTGCTTCCGTCACTCTTTCAAGAATCGAAACTTTTCTGAAGCAAAGTATGGAAAAAATACCAGGTATTAATCATTCTGTTGTTCATTATAATTTTCATTGCAACGGGAATCAGGATTTTGACGGTGTGACAATGATGATCAATGATTGATCAATACAACAAACCAAAGATATACTACACAGGTTAGAGAATAAATTGACAAGTAGTCTTAATTTTTCAGTTGTATACCGAGTTTGTTTGTCTAAAGGCTTAACATTCTATCCGACAGACGTAATGATGAAGCTTATGTTTATGACGATGGAGATTGGTAATGGTAATGTGTTTATGATGATGCAAAAATTATGATGTCGTGAATCTGATGATATAATGATTGTGATGATGACGATGATAATAATGTGCTGAATATGGTGGAGACAAAAATAATTGATGATGGTGAAGGTGATGATGATAGCAAATATATAACTTTAGAAGTAAAAAGATGACGTCAAGACTTATAAAATAGTTTTAACAATACAAAAGGGATACGGACATATTGACACTACCTACAATGTGGCTATTCTACTTACTCAGCTTAACTTCACACTCTAAACCTTTTACGCTTTTCAGAGTATAAATGCAAAACGTTTGCTGCTATCGTTGAAATGTTGCATTGGTTTGCTGGAAATCAAATTAGAAACGTTGCTGTGAGTTGTGCTAAATGTTGAAGATAAATAATAATTGAAAATACATAGGCCTACATATATATATATATGTATATATATATATATACACCTGTCTCTTATACTCGAAATGCATTGCTGTCTCTTATACACATCTAGATGTGTATAAGAGACAGGACATACACTAATTCCCACAGGAAACTGCAGATTCGTCAATGTCGAAGACGTCAGTACCAGAAGAAGAACTATTGTGTTTTATAACAGCATCAACATTAACAATAGCTAATAATTAAGACAAAACAGCTTACAATTACAAATTATGACACTAAAAAGAAGCTGTTGCTTGTCAATTCAAGCAAACGCAAAATAGAAACAAAATATTATATTTTTTTATATTTTAATATTGAAAGTATTACACTTTCGATATTCTAATAGATGATTTTGATCACTATCAGGGAATAGGTGGTAACGTTGTAACAGGAAGCCCTATTTCGGATCTGAACCCGATTCTGATGGCTGCAAAGTCTACCTTGACGTTTGCTGCAACAGACGGTAAATACACATTCTTTGTTTAATTGTGTTAAACAAAAACGAAATTAAAACAACTATTCTATTTTTGTTTGCTAGGATTGCTTTTTTGTTAATTTACAAATGAATTCTGTTCTTGCTGCTACGATCTTATACCTTTTGATTACGGTATTTTATGATGTAAATACATTTTTTTAACAGGAACATTTCGTTCTATTCCCATGGATGAGCACTTTTATACTGGCTATCGGAAGAATGCAATGTTGCCAAATGAGGTTCTGCTGTCAATACATGTTCCGTTTACTAGACAGGTATGAACAATCTTAAGGGTTGGTGCAAATTACTTTAAATTCGTCCAGATTCATCCACATCTGAAGTATTTTGTATCCCATGATCTAGAATAGAAGTGTATAGGAGAGGCGTTGAATGACTTGGTGGTTTGAAATATTGCTTTTCAAAACAACTCCATTTTGTTAACCTAATAATGAGACTTATATGAGCCTCTTGTGCATGTATTTGTCTTGTGAAGGGGTTGCCACTTAGAAAAGCTATAAAGTTAATGTTTGGCATATCCTTGGCCCGTGTGTAACAAAAGCGACCACTCACCGGTTCTTGCGATCCTCCACGCTTAAATACGGTACAGACGCATATTGGGTTTCTTTGGAGAACTAATTAGATAGAAATTTTTAAATAATTAGGATGTTTATTTGTCCAAAAAAAAAAATCTTATTCAGAATGTTCATTTGTACAAAATAAAAATATCTTAAAATTGAAAATAAAATAAAATTTCTTGCAATTTGAAAAAAACTAATGAAGACCAAGACGCGATTCGAACTCACAACCTTTAGAATACATCCTTAACCGACCCCTTTGATAATATTTTGAATTGGTGCAGTATAAGTCTTTGCTATTATTATTATTATTATTATTATTATTATTATTATTATTATTATTATTATTATTATTATTATTATTATTATATTTTACTGCATTTACTAAAAGATGTGTTTTATCACTCTCTCCTACCAGACTGAATATTTCAAAGCATATAAGCAAGCCCATCGACGAGATGATGATATTGCAATTGCCAACGCTGCATTCAGAGTAAATATCGAGTCTGGTGTCGTTAAAGACTGCTCTATGGCAATTGGCGGTATGGCACCGACGACAAAACTCGCAGTGAAGACTGTGAATTTTATGGTTAAAAGGTATTACAGAATTGCTGTGCCTTTTGTTATATTTATATTCAGTTTTGTTTGAGTGTAAGCACTGTTCTTACGCGTTAACGGAACCGTTTTTAATAATTCATTTTTTTAAACCAAGTAAACATTCTGAATTCAAGTGACTCACTGTAACGAATCGCGTAATCGAATTCGTATGACCCATAAACCCAAGAAATTTCCAAGGTTTCATTCAAATATCTGCTGACCAATCAATATCCACTCGCAAGTCCCAAGGGGTGGATCAGAAAGGTCCATTGACACACACCATAATTTTAAGATTAGTATATATTTTTTTTGTAGGTCATGGAACCAATTTCTACTCGAGGAGGTTAGCTCTCTCCTTGCCGACGAGATGTCCCTGCCACCTGACGCACCCGGAGGGATGGTTGAGTACAGACAGTCACTCGTACTCAGTTTCTTCTTCAAATTCTACTTGGATGTATCCCAGCAAATAGTGGAATTCGATAATGGTGTAATTAAGCAACATTTTTTTTACAGTTTCAAATGTTACATTTTACCTTCAGTATTATCATCATCATTAGCATCATCATTATCATCACCACTTATGTTTCTATATATTCATTAAATCAATTATTATTGTTGTTATAGTTATTGTTATAATAGCAATGATTATTTTCATTACTCTTATTTTCTCAAACTTACAGTGCAGTATTCCGGTCTCTGCAACCTCGGCCACAGCCCCTTTTAACAGGCCTGAATCTAAAAGTACACACATATTCCAGGTATAATACATAACATATTAACATGTAAAGTAATGTCAATAGTATTTTATATAGGTCATTGATATTTTTTTCTGGGTTACTTGATCCGATATGAACATTAAAAAAAAAAATCATTTATCGATAATTAACACGTTGTACTTGTATTGCGCCCTCAGGAGGTCAGTGATGAACAGTCACTTGGAGATATTGTTGGTCGTCCAATAGTCCATTCGTCGGCCTACAAACAGGCAACAGGAGAGGCTGTCTACGTCGACGATATGGTTCCGCTTGAAAGTAAGACTACTGTACTTCAACTGGCTCTTCCACGACCTTTCATCTTATATTACGTATTTGTTGGCGCATAATTACATTTTCAAAGGCTACTGACAGATATTTATAAGTTATTATATTATTCTAAATGCAGAATCTGTGAATCAACTGTGATGTACTGTACACGTAACGCGGCGGGCGATGCCATTTGAGATAACCTTGTAGTAATTTTAATTTAGGTCTATTGCACTTTTAATATGTCTGTTACGAGCTCATTAATTGTATAAAACGGTGAAGTTACATAAACCATAAAGCCTTTTGTTAACATAGCTCATGCCGTAGGCCAACATAATTCCAATAAAATACATGTTCATGTATCAAAATATATTAGGTTCACAAGTTGTCTCAATATCTTTCCAGAACTTCTATTAAAATGTAAAAGATGGCCGACTACAACATTAGAAGTTTTAAAAGGTTGATTTGATTCTAATTAGTGTATTGTTGTTATTCCAGATGAGTTGTACATAGCATTTATCTACAGTACCAAGGCGCATGCAGAGATAAAGTAAGTTTATCACAATAATTCTTTAAAACGAATTTGTATTATTCTATTCAACTTGCATGGAGCCCACCAAATTCAATTCGGAAACATTTTGTACAATATCTATCCATTCAAAATTTTATGTGGCGATGATAATGATGATTGGCCTAATATTTTTTCTTAATAGGACTCTTATGGCTTTAATACGAAGGCATCTGAGACAATTATTCACTCTAGTAACAACTTAACCCAAAGATACTAGAAACACAAGATCGAGTTCTCCACAGAAAAAACAAAACTGCTCCACCGAAATGCATGGTGGGAATACAAATAATGGGGCGCCGCGTACGGCTGGATCAAAAAAAACTTCTGCCACCGTTACATAACCTCCTTTTTGCGGAGGTTGAAATCATTGCCATGTAAGATACACACAAGTAGGCATAATAAATCGGAACAATAAAATGACAGACACAAAAGCGCAGAGTCGTATGACCGGACTCCGATTCGGATTAGTGATAAAGTTTTCCTCCATTAGTGGAAAAAGAAGGGCGCCATGTGCGTCTGGATATACCTACCTAGCAACGGAAGGGCGCCCTATACGTCTGGACCAAGTATAGAAAACTTGCATTATAAAAAGAGAAGGGCGCCGCGTACGTCTGGACCAATTTCCGCCTCATTTTTGATAGCGAGTGCTCTATCTTGTATTTCTAGTACTGTATCTGCTTAAACTACACAAGCTTAACATTTTATTTAACTAAAACTTAACTGAAGAATACTTGGGCAACGTGAACAAATTTGTTCGGCCTAATAGCGGACAATCGATATAAATAATTTCATTAAAAAAATAATAATTACGTGTGAATACTTGTTTCTCGTGTTTTCATCAGATCGGTCGATCCAAGCAAGGCTCTGTCAGTAGAAGGCGTTCACACGTACGTGGATCACCGTGACGTGCCTGGAAATAACGATATAGGATCTGCAGCAATGATAGACGAAGAACTTTTTGCAACAAAATTGGTTAGAAAATGTTTATACGATAGTCAACCCGTCAAACAAACCATCGACTTTGAGGATTGATAACAATGTTACAGATTGTCTACTAATTAAATTAGGGAACTGACCAGAATCATGATGTAGGCCTATATGATTTAGTATTATCATAGACGGAGTGGTTTGGATACTTACAGTTATATTTATCATAATTTTTTTATGAGGAGTGAAATTAGGGATACGTTTAAGTAAATTAATAAATTCTGTACCCCTGTTGATAGTTTACAAAGAACATAAAATTGTGTTTTAGGTGAGGTGTGTTGGACAAGTTATCGGAGGAATCGTCGCTGATAACCAAGATATTGCACAAAGAGCAGCGAAACTTGTTAAGATTGAATATGAAGAATTTGAGCCAATCGTTACCATTGAAGTAAGTATATTCACCAGAAGAAATAAATACAATATAATCTTGTCTGAAAGTATATTTTTTGCATATTATTATGCAAGTTGCAGTGTGTATCAAACACTGTGAATGTTGAACTTTCACACTTCCATTTCTTTCAATACTATTTAGGATGCTATAGCCAAAAGCAGTTTCCTATCCACACCGCAATGTATTGAAAATGGTAACATAAAGGAAGGATTTAGGAATTCAGATAATGTTATCGAAGGAGAAATGAGAGTGGGAGAACAAGAGCATTTTTATCTTGAAACAAATGCTTGCAGAGCAATACCTGTCGAAGACGGCGGAATGGAAATATTATCCTCCACTCAAAATCCAAGCCTGGCGCAGGTAGGCCAGGGCCTATGTATATAAAATATACTGTTTATGATCAGATTTTGAGAGAACACTTTCAAATACGTAATTAAATCATTTAGAATGGATAAATTAAAAGCTAACAAAAGTAATCAATCAATTGAAATATTTCTATTGTTCATATTTGAACGCTGAAAGAGTTCAAGTGACTGCACAAAACAACCATCGGACTGTCAAGATACACATGAGTGATGGGTGTTTGTATGGTTACATTGCTCATATGCATTCAGTGTAATATATAATAAGAATGCGATATATGGACGTACGTACAAGTTTAATTAACATGAACTCATTTTGTTCGTAATTATTAATATTATTGGGTGGAGTTGGAGTTGAATAGCTTGGTGATTAAGATGCTTGCTTTCCAATCCCAGGGTCCTGGGTTCAATTCCTGTCACGATAACAGTGAAGATTTTTTTTTCTCACGACCAAAACGATTCCACTACCTAAGCCTCATTATGAGACTTGGTCTATGTCAAGCATCTTGTGTGTATGTTTGTCTTGTGACGGGATTGGCACTTTGAAGAAAGATTAAGTTCATTGTTTGGCATATCCTTTGCCCTGTGCCTAAAGCTGAATGAAATAATTGCAGAATGTTAAACAATGTGAAGATTTTGTTGAACAATCGTTATATATAGGCCCTACGTTAGAAATAAAAAAAATCAAATGATGAATCTTATTGTGCATTTCTTTGTTAGTCGCTGGTGGCAAGAGTTCTTGGACTACAAAAACACAGGGTAACATGTCGTGTGAAAAGACTAGGAGGGGGATTCGGTGGAAAAGAGACCAGATCTGACGTATTTTCTTCAGCAATTGCAGTTGCAGCAAACAAGTAGGTTTATCCTATTTAAAAATTCACTTCGAAAATCTTAAACATAATAAACCGTATTCGTTTTCTACATAAGACATTATTGTGCATGATGAAAAAAAAAAATCAAAAATGATAAGTCTAAGGGCATAGCCTGAGTTCATAGTCAAAGTTAGTACTTGATTGATGCGACAATAATGCGTAGAATGTACCCCTTTGATTCAATATTAATTTTATTTAATTGAGAGAATAAGTAATTAAATAATATTTTATAAACTATCGACAAATTCTAGGCCGTTGAATATCTGTCTCTACTTTCATAGAGTGAAACGACCAGTCCGATGTATGCTTGACCGTGATGAGGACATGTCCACTACGGGAACCAGACATGCTTTTCTGGGACGTTACAAGGTTGGTTTTACTAATGATGGCAAGGTACAAGCACTGGAAATTGATATGTACAGCAATTGCGGATATTCAATGGACCTTTCTTTCTCGGTGTGTTTTTTTTTCACTTTTAGACATAATTAAGTTTACTGCTATAATTTGATATTTTAAAATTTAAAAAGTAAAATACAATATATACGGATGTTTAATGAAGTCGTATTCCATGTACAATAGGAATAGCTGTACAGCAGCTTATAAAAACATTGAATTCACGGTCTATGTTATTTCAAGAAACTTTTAAAATGAAATCAATAAACACCTTTTCATGTCGGCCTACCTTTCTTCTAGATAATGGAGCGTGCACTTTTCCATATGGACAACGCCTACAAAATTAGCAACATTAAAGGGACTGGTTATCTATGTAAGACAAACATTCCTTCAAATACAGCATTCAGAGGATTTGGAGGCCCTCAAGGAATGATGATTGTTGAGAACTGGATAGGAGATGTTGCAATAGCTTGTGGGATATCACAAAAAATGGTAACAATATTTTGTCTGATACTTACTGTAGAATTGATATAAGTGGATATTACAAACACATTTAGTGTTAATTAATGCTTAATTTATTTGTTTTTACCTAGGTTCGAGAAATCAACATGTACAAAGAGGGTGATTTAACACATTTTAACCAGAAACTTGTGGATTTCAACTTAAAAAGATGTTGGGACGAATGTCTTAAAAGTAGTGAATATGACAAAAGGCGAATCGAAGTCGAGAAATTTAATAAGTGAGGTTTCTGTCTGATGTGGTTTTCTTCACCAATGATATTTCGGTTATATTCCAACGTACTATTATGGGCTCTGTTGGTTTCACACTTCTTTTAACTTAATAATATTTAAAGCAGGAAAGCTGAATAAATATTCTACAGTTTGGGTGTGATAATATGGTAAACAACGATTACAATGCTCCCCTTACCTTTTAGGTTCGATCTCGATTAACGATGTTTCCAACTGAAGATTAAAATAAAAAGCTAAAAACAAAGCATGACAGTCACGACGTCACCAAACCGAATATTAATCTATGTAGTTTCTACACCACGCATGAAAAAAATCCAAATTAATTCTTTATTAAAGTACTTATTCTTGATTTAGGGCGAACCGCTGGAAAAAGAGAGGAATTTGTGCAGTTCCAACCAAATTTGGAATTGCTTTTACAGCGTTATTTATGAACCAGGTAACTTTAAAATGTATTTGTTTAGTCATTATTTTTTGGAGAAAAAAAATTGTATTGTGCAGGTCCAATCTCGGATTTCTTTCTCTTAGGTTAGTTACACACAAAATTTAAAAACTTACCGTACATTACATGTAGAAGCATAAGATTAAATGAATTAATCAGGGGCGCATCCAGA